ATATATATATATATATATATATATATATATATATATATATATATATAAAACACTTGTCATTTTCATAATTGAATTCTCCACGCATAAAATCACGTTCAGTATAATAAGATAATTTAATTTTTATTAGGTGTCCCTTTCTGAGGTAATTGCTATTGACAAGCGATATTTAATCAGTTGTCAACGAATTAAAGAAGGAAAGCAGAGAGGAAGAATACTAGCAAAAATGTTTATATTGATAAGTTGCAATGTTCCATACATAATCCATAGTCATTCTTTTACAAAGAACGTTTAGATGTTTGAGTAGTGATATGTTTGTCGGCAGAATTCTTAGTCTATGGGCTACCGCAACACGTTATGACACCTAAATAAACGCCATCATCGTCACCTATTTTCAAAATACATATTAGAAATATATGTACGTTTCTTCTGACGGTTGATTAACTTTCGTTTCTGTATAAACAATTGTTTATTCGAACCGACTCAATTGAAACACGATCGCTCGACCAAGGACGAACAGATGTTAATCGATTGTAGATATTAAAAGTTCAGACCGAAAGCATCGCGTTACGCCAAGTTCCCCGCAGGCGTGTGTGCTGCACATGGCAAACATCTAAAACACGGTCAGACGGGAATCGAGTATGTATTTTGAGTGTAATACCGACATTGATCTTCGTAAATTAATGTCATCCGTTCTGCTTCTCATGCACACCATTCTGCTTTTCCTGAGCCTTTAACGGTTTTATTATTTCTATATCGTTCAATTGTTCGAGCATCAACTGTTGCTTCTTTTTCTTCTTCTTCGATAATTTCCTAAAAAAAATTTTCCAAGAATGTGTCATTTATGTACCTGAGGTAATAAGCTGCATGGATGTCAAAACAGGGAAACTTACTTTCCAAAAAGCTCGCCGTCTTGAATCGATTCAGGAAGTTTTTTGTTTAATGTCTCCGGCAGAAGAAGAGACATTAGTCCAGCAAGTAAGGCGCATGATCCGAATATGACAAGTGGTAATGGCATCCATACTTCCGACTGGAATGATTAGATAACATGCTAATTAGATGATTTCATGTCATCTATAACAATCGGACATCGATATTGCTTGCTTTGGATGTCTCTATGCTTCTAGATATCAAAGAAAATAGCGTGATAAGTATAACATACCAGATGATTGACATATGGCGCGATAACTCCGCCAATTCGGGCGAAGGTGGAACTCGCACCTAGTCCGACGTTTCGAATGACGGTCGGAAATTGTTCGGCAGTAAACACATAAATTGCACCGTAGGAGGAAGTAATAGCGAGTTTTCCTATCATTGCTAAACAAACGATTAACCATGGCATATCTGAAAAGAAATGAATTCGTTTATTAGCAACACTTAAGGTGCCAATTCATGAGACGCTGAAAATGAGTGTCAACAGGGTGAATGTAATTTCCCTTTGACGCTAGCGTCAAAGAAATGAAGTTGATGAATTTGTTTAATATTCAGCGTCATCGCTGAATTGTCGTTAATCGTCCCAATACAATCAAACATAGACTTCGAAATACGTAAAATATTAATTATTTTCAAGTAATATCTTCAAGTAATAATATTTTATGGATATATATATAACACACATATATATATATATATATATATATATATAAAATATTATTTTTCTGAAGATTTTTGCTTGCTGAAAATGAGCGTCGAGCGTCAACGTGAAGACACCTTTACAGAATAGATGACTTTTAAATTCAATTTATGTTGAATTCACTTTAAATGTTCTTTCGCAAATTAACAAATAAAGACAGTTTTACTCAAACACATGTGTAAGAGGATATAAAATCACAATACCACGAATTGAATAAAATTGTTATTTATACTTGTAAAATACTTACTGGCAGGAACAAATAACGTGGCAATTAACGCTAATCCGGACACCATCATACAGCCGCATAGAATGATCTTTCTGCCCCATCGATTCAGGGTGAAAATGAGGAAAGTGTACGCCGGTACTTCTACCACTCCAGATATTACAAAATTAACGTAGTCGTTACCGCCAAGATTGGACGCGTGCCAAGACAGTCCGTAGTACGTGCCGCTGTTTACGAGCCTGCACGAACAAGAAAATCAAAATTAGCGCAGAACTAAATGTAAGACTCAAGCGTAAAAAAAACGAATGCATGAAATAGCTGACGAAATCATTTCGTCGTACCAATTAAAAAATAGGAGAATGCTCTTCCGCCTCAAGTTCGGATAACGGAACAAATCAAAGAGCGAAGGCTTCTTTGCGTCGGGCATACTATCCTCGCTGTTATTATTAAGAAGTGTATCGAGAGTCTCGCTCGGCATCTCTACGCCATTTTCCAGGGAAGCACGTTGCAGCAAATCCTTCGCTTCTTGGAGGCGACCTTTCGTTAGGAGCCATCGCGCGGACTCGGGAATGAACCTGTCACAAACCGGGACTTTGTAAATTATGATGCTGAGTCCGGAATTGTACGCGTTACTTGGAATATATCTATTATGTATCGTACCACCAGTAAAGTAGAAACGCGATGCTTGGCACAGTGATGGCTACTTGCAGCATTCTCCAGTCAGTAATAAAATACGCGAAACCGGCGGTGAGTATGTATCCAGTAGTGAAAAATAGTTGGCAACCAACACCAGCCACTAACCGCTTTTTTGGCCCGACCATCTCCAAAGCTGAAAAAGATAAAAAAGAGATAATTATATGATGTCCAATACCCGCGCGATTTAATTAAAGCTTTTCAAAGCTTCTGTTCGACATCGCTAAATATTATGAACGATATTGATAATCGAATTCAGTTACCTATGACATAAGCTACTAAGAACACTCCACTGGTGGTTGACCCGACAATTAGCCTGAAGATTACGTAGGAAATAAACTCGGGCGCGACAGCAACTAGTATACCGCCAACCAGCTGTATGACTAAAGACAGGAAGAAAATTGGTCTACGACCATATTTATCGGACAAACCGCCGAATATCATCGAGCCAAGCATGACTCCTACCATGAACAACGAGTCCCCCGTCGCTCTCAGCCACGCCTTGTCGCAGACTAAGTCCCACTGTAAAAAAACAAACATTTATTATCCGTCATCTGTCTATCGAGATTCATATACGTGTTCTTTAGATCGAGTTTCTGTTCGTCTCGTCGTTTGATTTCCACTTGGATCTTATTCGTGCGAGAATTGTCGAGAAAACGCGGTAAAACTTTAGTTTGCAAAGACGCTACAGCAAAATAATTATTATTTCGTACCTCAGAAGTGGTTGTACTTTTGTACACGCTTCTGTCGTACACGTACTGCTTGCAGTTGCTGACGCCTCCTCCTTCGGTGCCGTTGCCAATTGCGTTTCCAAGGATCGTGCCATTCGCAAGGTCGATAATGTCACGGCTCATGCACTGGGACCACCCTCGGAGTTCGTGGTCCCACGGATAGCTCGCGTTCAGCACGTCCTGGCTCAGGTGGAACGTGGCGTTATCCGCGTGCTCATGTGGAAGCAAACACCTGGAGGCAAAGGAGTAGTTCGTTTTTACCATAAAATTCCTCGTAATCCACCGTGTAATTATCGTCACGTTTGCTCTGTACTATACCTCGAGTTCATTTTGGCTCCGAGAAACACGCCGGCTAGCTTGTGAAAGGCGCACGATATCGCTGGAAGACAGAGTAGAAGATAGACCCTGCGCTGGTAGCGGCCGAACTCGCCCATACGAAGGATAACGTCGTCGTACGCCATTTCGCTCTCCGGAATTTATCCTACGTTATTCAGTATTTACGATAATGCGCGCGAAAGAGAGAGCTTTTATAGAAACCCTTATATAAAGATATCCCTCTATTGGATTTTAATCGGTACGCGATTAACGGCTTCACTCGCGACGCGGACGATCGTTTTAATAATACTCTATCGATTCTGACATCGTTATCTCGTGTCACGAGAATTCTTTTCGTTGTGACATTCGGAAGTAGCTCCGAGAGAAACAGGCGCGTGCAGAACAGTTCACGAGGGCAACTCGTACACGCTCCTCGAGAGATATTCCTAGCTGTAAGGCTCGATCCAGCGGCGGTGAAGACGGCCAAAACCGCTTATCGGATTTCCGAACACATCAGGCGTTCCCTTAGGTCGACTTCCGGGCAAAACTGTGGCAACTGAAAAAGAAATTGTAGTATTGTGTGATACTTGTTTCGCGCGATCTTTATATTTAACAACTTATTGTTATCTTATTTATAGTTTCTTATATATTTCACTCCTTTTTGCATTAAGAATCGCGCAAGGCAATTATAAAGACGCTTGAACAATTATAAGGGTACATGTTTGATTTTCCACGTACAGTTTTCTCCAAGACCATCGCGCTTTTAATTAAGGCTGGTGATTTGCTTCGAAAGTTTCGATATTCGAAAAAATTCGAACCTTTTAACGTTCTCTGAATGAAAATTTGCCATTCACACAAATATATATTTCGAAACTTTGAAACTTTGAACTTCGAATTCTTTCGAGGCTTTGAAGCTTCGAAGTTGTCAAAAGTAACAGCTCTACTTTTAATTGCCTCGCATTATTTTTCAGACTCATTATAATTTTCCACAATAAGCTTATCATCGAAGACGAAGACCGTATTCGCCGTCCGTATGTATTATACGAGAGCAGTCGTGCGTGTGCGTAATGCAATGTTGTTTATAACATTGTTCATGCATTGCGCGCGTATTGCGTAACAACGATATACATATGTATGCAAAGGAGTGAGAGAAAGGGAGAGGTTTGACAAGTCGCAAGATTTAATACCGAGCCCAATACCGAACATTACGCCTGGTGCGTAGCGCTTTTAATGCACACCCGGGAGACCCGTTCAGACTAATTAGACTCGCGGACAGACGATCCGCGCGGATCGTCATTGATCGCAATTGATACAATTGTCTTTAGATTAGAACTCGAAAAGGAAAAGACGGCAAACGGGTAATATCGGCCTATTTATTGGCCGCGCACCGTTCGTTTATTAACACCGTCATATGTTCACTTTTTATTTTCATTTTGCCGTTCGTCGAATTACTTGTGCTAAATTCCTCCGGAAAACTATATTTCCCGCATACGAACGACACATAGAGAATCTGACGTATTCATACTTTAGCGAGGAAATCTAATTTTGACGCGAGAATTATCGGAAATATTTATTTATTATATATTACTCGCGTTATGACAATATTATTGTTAAAAGAAATGCAAGATGCAGTTCTCTTTCAAGTTTATAAATTTATATATTATTCTGTGACACTAGGTCAAAACAAAGAACGTCATAATTAGTAATAATCTTGTCATAACACAAGTAACGTATATAATCAGTATTTCTAATAATTCTCGCGTCAATGTTAAGATCTCTTCTCGCTAAAGTACGAATACATCAGATTGATATCCCGATTCTGCGGTAGCTCTCCGGGCAGCGATCACGTAACTTTTCCCCTAGAGTGGCAACGTGAAAACTGAAAAATTTTATGTGACTATCTCTTTCTATTCAACACCAATACATGAAACGTTTTTTCACGTTTCCGCCCCACGGGAAAAGTTACGTGATCGCTGCCCTGAACGTGTATTTAGTATTTACATACAACGCTCCGGCAGAAATTTTATTCGACAACACGGCAATGTAACGGTCGAGCACAATATTTCGAGCCTCCGTAGTGTCAAATTATATTCAATTTGAGTCATTTTTAACCATTTCCTATAAGTCGCCACTGCTACTATTCAATATGTTAATTTAACTAAACCAATGAAGTTAAAGTAATAAATGTCGACACACATGGTATAGTTAAAAATAACATAATATTATTTAATTCAAAGTATTAGTTATTTAACTCAATTAAATTTTATCTTTAATATTTAATAGTGTGTCTTTCTCGACTTACTTAATGCAAATATGCGATATCGCGCGAGACGGACACGAAGTAATCGCCCGCTCGTTTAGTTCTACGTTTTGTTCTATGTCTGCGTATGTAATACCGCGCGTATAATACCGATCGCACACAAGTAATCTCCGAGCCGGGCAGCTTTTTCGAAATGCAAACAGGCGCGTTGTCGGCCGGCGGCACGCACGCAGACGGTCCCCGCACTTGTCAATGGAGCACAACCCTGCGCGCATCAAGGACGGACGGAAACTGGCGTCACTGGCGAGCTGGCCACATGCTCAGCCGGCGCGGCGTGCTCCGGCGCGGCGCTCCGGCTCGAACGCGATTCACCGCGACTCGGCTCGGCTCGACTCGATTCGACTCGACACGACTCGACACGAGAGGCTCCCCGGAGTCCCCGGAGTCCCCGGAGACCCCAGAGCCGCGTTTCAAGCACGCCGCGCCGGCTAGATTCGGCCCTCGGTGCACTCGGTGCCTCGCGCGCGGATGCTTCAGAACGCTATTCTTTTTCATCTTTTTCTTTCTCCGTCTCTCTCTTCCCCCTGGACAAAGGCGGATGTCGATTTGTCAAAATCGGACGTGGGCCCGGCACGTTCCCCCGGGGAACGTCTCGACCGGGGGACGAAAACGGATGCGAAATAAAAAGGGAGGAAGACCAGGCGCTCTCTCTCTCTCTCTCTCTCTCTCTCTCTCTCTCTCTCTCTCTCTCTCTCTCTCTGTCAGGTCAATCACACTCAGGATACTCGAATTCGTATTCCCCCTCTCGAGAATCGGAAGAGGCGCGCAAACCGATCGGTCCGTCGCGCGTGCCGCCCATCGCGGCGTATACTCCTTATTCCTTGTATCATATAATTCGAACCTGAGCTATCGATTGAGCCTAATCAGAACTTGGTCGGTTCAGCCATTACTTCGATAATCGATTCGATAATCTAAAGGTCTTCTAACTCGTCGGCTTGCGTCTGGCCGCAGGGGGAAGTGATCCGCGCAGTTCCTTGGGCCCAACAAACCCACGGGTTCATCCCGAGTTCAAGACACCGCGGCACCGCGGACATACACACACAATTACACATACACACATACATATACACCCTGGCCATATTGTCTTGTATTTAAAAGAGGCAGGTGCCAGTATCAAGAAGAAGAAGAAGAAGAAGGGTCGGCTCGCGTCTAGATCCACGGTCTGTGTCTCGCTGCGCGTACACTTGGCGCGATATACTCTACCGGAGACCTTATAAAGCCTCTTTTCATGGCTAATGAGCGCGAGCTTCGATCACCGGAATTAGGGATATTTGTATTCGGGCCGTTTGTTCTTCCGCCTTTCGACTATGTCCTCCGCGAAGACGATTTTAAATCACTCACGCCGCGGCACGCACAGCGAGACGAGCCTATTTTGGACGATGCGAGAGATAAGGCACGTCATAACTTGCAGGGCAATGGAGCAAGGAAACCGGCAATAAAACGCTACGTTTCGTTTAACGCGGCTTTTGCGACATGTCGCGTTTTCGCGACTTCACGCGGTGGCTTCTATAGCTTGCGCGCCGCGAAATTTCGCCGGCTCGATGTTATCTCATCGTTACTGCAGTTTTCCGTAATATTTTCCTGCATGATTCTTCACAGGATCGTCTGTGATAGATGATAATTTATGAACTACGCGACTGAGATACGATTGAACAATATATTGTAAACTTGGACAAGAAAGACAGCTACTACTTGTTTGAGCAATGGAGATACTAGTTTCCTTCGATAAGATTACGTTATCGCAAGGACTCGATAGCTAAAGCAATCCTGATTGCTGTATATATTCACCAACCTCCCACCCGGATTTCATTCCGAATCATATCGCGTGACGCGTAATCGATTGAGATATTTTTCAACAAATTAAATTCTTTCGCAAAGGGGTACGAGCGGGGGATACCATGCTGCATGCCATTCCGCTGTATGTAGGTAAGGTACCCCTGGTTCTCAAATTGCGAAATTCGCGAAGGACGCGCGGATCGCGCCGCTTTCGATAATTAGCCGTTCTAATCTCATGCGCTCCAAATTTGGTCGTCGCCTCGCACTTTCGTCTTAAGCGGAGACGATCGGTCGCACGGCGATTGGGGGGGGGGGGGCTCTCCTCGCCTAATAAAAATTCCGATGCAGGTCGCGACGCGGACCCCCCTTATCCTCTTCCCTCCCTCCGTCGCGCTTCTACCTCGCATGCGTGTATCTGCATATATCTGAACCTCAGAGGTAAAGACTCTCCATTATTAGAAATTTAGAGAAAACAGGATTTGAAGTTCATTATTTCTATGAACATTTCTAATATAACTTTTTCTAAACATTGTATCTTAGGAACTAATAGTAATAATTTTAAGAGACACAAGACCCTTAACCACATTATACGATTTAAACTCCTGGTATATTGGAAAAAGTATGAACTCTTTAATTTTAACAAAAACTAGAGATACAATTCTCTACTTCTAAAGTATAGATGTACATGTACACACATATTAATGCGCCGCGACCCTTCTCATTTACCCTCTTTTTTCCACGAGTATCAATGTATCGTGTAAGAAGAGAAGTGAAGCTTCAGCTGGAAGATAGGCGGCCGATTATTCGCACGCGACAGAAATGCCGGTTGGGCGCATGTTAGCAATACCGGCCCAGACATTGCCATCGCTATCATCGCCACCACCGCCGTCGCCGTGTCGGAGGCCGACATCGTCGGCCCCAGTGCGAAACCCGAAGGCTATTTATAGTAGGGAGCGGCTTCTAGTTCCCACCGCGTGAAAAATCGCAACTGGTTTCTCGCGAGTGCGAATGGAAGAACGGGGGGGAGGAGGGAGGGAGGGAGGGAGGGAGGGAGGGAGGGAGGGAGGGAGAGAGAGAGAGAGAGAGAGAGAGAGAGAGAGAGAGAGAGAGAGAGAAATGGCTCTGGTGTCTCGGCCGAAGTCGTCGCTCTGCATTAGCCGCTGCGCTAATGAGCAAACAGTCTGACGGTCTCCCCAGTCGAAGGCTCTCTCACGAGAGTACATTTGATAATAAACGCAATGCGAATTGCAGTACGAAACGCAACCGGTAGGCAAATAAATCAAGCCTTGGCTATGGTGAACATTTGGTGAAAAATGGAACGTAACCCTCATTATTAGTTAACATTGTCGCGTTAATTTATATATATACTTCCACGCGTCGACAAAGCACGTGATAATGGAGGTCCTGTCGCAAACACACGCCGCTTGACATTTAAGTACACGCAATGTCAGAAAGGAGCG